ATAGATAAAAATTAAATTAATTATTAAACTTGAATAATAATTAAAATATGAATATCAGAATACCAAACACCAATGAAATACTTACGTGATATTTAGTGAGATAGCTAACCGTAATGGAAAAGTCTTCTGATATTTCAATTTTAGGTTTTTGTGTGTTTTAATTAGAAAGTCACAATAAATTTGTTTAGTGTAATTAGTAATGTTTATTTTCTTTATTTGGAGAGACCATGATTAAAATTCTCAAACTTATGTATTTTTTTATGAATAGAAAATAAATAACTATAAAGATAACTCTAGCCTTCCTCCTTTCACTCCTTATAATATTGAAAATGGTTCTCAACTCTCCTATATTATACTTGTTGATGTTGATTTGACTTCCTACGTGGGTGGTTGTATTTTTGGTTGGACAAGGTTTGACAACCTACACATGTCAAATAATGATGCCTAATCTGGCTTTTCTTAAGCCAAATTTAAACCGAATATGAAAATTAAATTTGACATGCAATAGTGTATTTGCCTATTTAGTTTAGAGATCCATCTTAAAAAAATAACATATTATTTTCTAATGTCTTACAATAATTCATGACATGTTTTATTAATAAAAGTATTTAAAATACATTCATCATTCAAACTATCAAGAATATCACTTTTAATATATTCGACTAAAATTATTTTATGCAACACTAAATTATGCCATATAATATGTTAGATATATTGGATCATGAAGTTGTGGATAGTGAAGATATTGGTTCAGACACAAAAGACCATTGTCTGACTCTCTCCTTCAACAAACCATTGGTAACACATTTTTTAGTGTTATTTTTATGGTATGAAATGTTTGAACCATTGGTAACACATTTTTTAGTGTTATTTTTATGGTATGAAATGTTTGAATCCTCTTTAAATCATAGTTTTAGTACAAAATACTTTATCGTTGACTTTTCAATTACAATTTACGATATGGTTTTATAATTCTAATATCTTTTATGTGTATGTTTCATATTTGAGGTGGTACATCAGACCTCCCTCATCCCCATGTGGCTCCCCGCTGTTGGCATGGTCAGTTGGACACTCGTATGAAAGATAAGAGATATTGGTCAGGTTGGATTTTGGCTAAATAAGCCAAACTTGCTATTTTTGAATAGTGTAGTTAGTGTCAACAAATTAGTCTATAATTAAGTTGTGAGAGCATTTGTTTACACACAAAAAAAAAACTCATCGTTCATCACATGCGTTATTTTTTTACCGTTGTGCCACTTTAAATAGGTTAGCCCATACATAGTGGATTATCCTAATTGTTGGCATGTACTTAAGTGGATAGTATATGAATGAGAGGTGTTTGTCGAGTACCTATTTACCACTAATTCACTCCTAATTGGATGATATCATCTCATTCTAGATAGATACCATCAAACATTTAATTGGATGACACCATCACATTTATGAACATCATCCAACGCCTAAGCTGATGGTACCTTCTCATATAATGGATATCATCCAACTCTCAAGTGGGTGATGTTATCCCACAACATGGATATCATTTGATGTAGAAAACACAAGTGATTAACTAACCTAGATGTGCCTAGGGTCGTATTCCACAAGGTCTTTTGATAGAAACTACTCAAACCTAACCTAATGTGTCGAATGGTATGAAAGAAAAGTAAATGAATTTGGGTTGAGGTGCCCTTGATTTCGTGTCCTAAGCTACTACGAAAACAAATAAGTAAACAATGCAATGCAAGGGATGCAAACGTGTAAACAAGGAAAATCCAATGTTTAGGTAGGGATATCTTGATGATCATGCATACTAACTCATAAGTGGGATGCTTCTATGCATCATCTATTATGATGATCTATCCCTTCCTCTAAGGCCACTCTCTACCCGAGCATGCGCCTCTTGCAATAAAGGATTGACTAGCCAATGCATGCTTTCGCTTCATGACATCACCTAATCAATGAAGAACAAGGATGTTATTAGGACAGCACACGATTAATTGTAGGCTTCTATAAACCACAATCGATGGTCTATAGAATCGATGATCTAAGAATCAAGCATCATCATTAGTCATGCATAGAAGGGTAGCTAATCCTCCTATACACACCTATGAGGATGCCTACTGCACGAGATTAGTTTCCTTGTCTCCCATAATAGTAGTATAAACAATGACTATAGTAGCTTTCACAATAGATTTATACTCATAGAACAGTCAAAACACCATATGATAAATAGCATCGACGATTATAGACATTAGATAATTAAAGCATTCATTCAATAAAACATCTAAAGCAAAAGGCATCGATGAAGTAGAGCATAGAATGAAATGAGCATCTCATTGGTTCATTGAAAGCAATGCATAAACATCATATAATTCACATCCCTAATAAGATAGAGCTAGCTAAACAAACCAGAATCATAAGACATAATCGTAGATGACGAAGCCATCCTCATTGAGCTCCTCTTCCTCTCCTATGCGCTCTAACTCGTGTCCCTAGGACATAGTGATTGTAAAGTGTTTATGAAAGATCTAGTCTAGCCTCCCATTTATACTAGTCACATAATGGGGTTTTCTAGTATTTTTCCTCCTAAAAAGTCGGCCAAAACATTCCTTGTCCGACTTGAACTCGACATCCTTCCAATTGTGGACGAAGTTACTTGCAAAGGAACCTTCCTGGAAGGCTAAGGCATCAGCGGCGGCCATACATTAGTTGGACATGCTGCTCTTATTTCTTCTCTAAATCAGTCGCTTTTCTGGGACCTTCCTCTTGGGTTTATGAACCTATTCCTGAAACTTCAACTCGTTTGGACTTCGTGTGACCCGTCTGCTCTTCAAAATACTATGACATGGTCCATATCTTGAGCTTCTGGTGTCAGAATCCATCTCTGTGTGGGCTCATGAGCTTGTATTCTTGTTCTTCTTCTTATCCATTTTGTCCCTTGGTGATCCATATTCGTCTTGAGTGGTTTATAACCTTGAAAACACAAACCAATGTCATAAAGGCATCAAATAGTACAGAAACACACTCAAGGTCTATCATAAGCTCATTATCCTAATAATTATGAAGTTCATACGATATGTAATTAAAATCACTAAAGATGCATCGATAAAAGGGGAAAATGTATCAAATATGGGAGTGATAAACACAATAAATAGAGTGTCATCATCACCATAGTCTAATTGGACGGTACCATTCAATCTCGTGGTTGTCATCTAATTTGAAATGATTACATGGTGGATAGTTATTGTCCCAAGGTGATGTGTTCGTTTATCCTTTTCTCTCTTTACCTATGTAACCGTAGTTGTACAGCTCTCTTTACATGAGGGATCCTCCATAGTCATAGTCACAGTTATAGTTGTAGTCGCCGACCTCTCAAGAAATCTCTATAGGAGTAGCATAACGTAACTTAGATATCTTATACATTAAATATCCTCGTTCAAACAATGCTTGAAGAGGTATACATCATATAATAACAATCATCATTTTCAAAGAAGTCAGGGCGTATCTCATCCATATGTTTTCCACCATTAACAAATCCACACTATCCAGTTGATTTCTGCATGATCCTCAACCACCAACTGTTGTCTATGTGACTTGTACGTTTCCCTTTACTTCCAGCGTTTCCCCCGACATTCTTTGCCAAATGTGTCTGACCACCTCAATTTTGTGATGTGCATTGAGTAATTATGTCTGTCTTATATATGCACCTCACCTATGTCACTACAAAACCTCCAGTGACGAGATTAGGATTAGGGCTGCAAATGAGCCGAGCTGCTCGCGAGCGGCTCGACGTTCGACTCGAGAAAAGCTCGTTCGAAACTCGGCTCGTTAATAAACGAGCCGAACACGAGCTAACCTTTGTTCAGCTCGTGAAGCTCGCGAGCTAGCTCGACTCGGTGGCTTGTTGAGCTAAACTCGTGAGCTGACTCGTTTAGAGCTCATTATATGTCTTAACATGTGGCTAGAGAGCCAACTCGATTACCAACTTATGGACGAATCAATCTATATCTTATGATTTTAATTCATATGGTTGTTAAATTATATATCTCACCATATATAAAGTTTAACACGTTGAGTATGTGATCAAATATATCTTATTTTCTACTTTAAAAAGAAATTATGCATCATAGATTGCTTCGATACTATGAAATAACATGATTTGAAGTAGTTAAGATTTATTAACTAAATGATATATGATACCAACAAAGTATAATATGAGATTAGCTAATAAAATAAATCATATGTATCATGATATACAAAATGAAATACCAAATAAAAGTCAAGATTTTAATAAACAAACTAGCTCTAGCTCGACTCGACTCGGCTCGTTAATAAACGAGTTGAGCTCGAACTCGACTCGTTTATTAACAAGTCGAGCTCAAACTGAGGTAAAACTCGACTCGGCTCATTTGCAGCCCTAAATTTAGGATGCTACCAGTAGAGGATTCTATTCGTGCAATTCTCAAGTATTAGCATTCGAGCTGCCTAACCAAAAGCCCATGAAACCCATATATTCGTAATTGGTCTTAAGGTCAAGGACCTGCGATGTGTGTGAGACCTCAATCCACTCTCTGGATGGTTAAGACTGGATCATTCCTCCTGATCATCCCGAAACAAGTTACTATACGAAATTGCATCAACTTCCTACTGTTAAGTGCAGTACAAAGTCCTTTTAGCAAACTCTACAGCTAGCACATTTCACATTTTAAAAAAGCTAAGTACCGAGTGTTTAGCATAATGAAATAAGGGTATGAACGTGTCACATATAGTGACTCGGAGCTTTGTTGGTCGAAGTCAAAAGAACCGAGAACCATGATAACGATTAACAAACATTGGACAAAGTCTCCAACCTTGACTTGAGAGATGGACGCAAGTGTGAAAGGAACCGGGAAATGAAGGCCCGCCCGCATGCACGGCTGCCTCCTCCCCTTCCTTCCGCCGGAGAGGGATATGAAAGGCAGGAAACCACAGTTTCCAGAAGCAAAAAGTAGAAAGAGAGAAAACCAGTCAATAGTCAGACGTTGAAAATTGCAATACCGTGTTACTCAAAGGTCTACTTCCAAATTCCAATCACCCCAACACAAGTCCACAGAATATAAATCGGAGCCCAAACCAGGAGTCAAAAATTCAACGGCAGAGAATGGGCAGGCTGGGTACGAAAATACAGGCGTGGGGGAAATTAAAGAAAAAGCAAAACAAATGCCTTTGTGTAGTTACACCGGCAAAATCCGCTGAATTCCTCCTTTCGGTCGCACAGTCTCCTCGAGTTCATCAAATTTTGATCCGCTTCCCAAGCAGACAGCAAGAATAGAAAAGCACAACAACAAGACATGACAAAAACAAAAACAAAAACAAAAACAAAAATTAATATTAAAAGACACCACCCCTCTTCCCCGTCTCTGTTGTCGTTGTTTACAACCCAACCCCGGAAACCCGTTTTGGTATTAGCATCGACAAACAAGTAAGAACCCCAGAGCTGGGTCTGTGTCTCTCTTTTAGTAACTAATTTCCATATGTACACCTTTTTTCCCCCTGGCAGAGATCAGATCAAGAATGTGGCTGAAGCTTTCTGGCCCGCACGTGGGATAAAAACTGGGTGGGTAGTTCTGCTAGAAGTTGTTGGACAACAGAGATCCCTCCATCTGCATATGACCAAATTAGAGGATGGTCAGACCATTCTGGAGTGAAGAAACTAGTTGGATTGAGAAGATGAAATAAGACCAGATCGATAGATAGATAGATGTCCTACTCTGTACATCCCGCAATGGTACAAACTGAACTATATCGCGCGTGGCAACCCGACCGGTTGTGCTTTCAAGTCTTTCTCCTCTATCGCCGTCTAAAATCTGCACGCGCCAATTGGAACAGTTGGTGGTATACAAATGAACCCTCGTCTTTTTGCCGTAAGAGCATACAAGTCTCATATATATAGTGAAACAAGGTACGTACCTCCATTTCTTTATAGTCAGCTCCTCCGACACCTACTATAAGGATGGAGAGGGGAAGGTCGGATGCTTGCACAATGGCGTCTTTAGTCTCTTGAAGATCTGTTATGACACCGTCCTACGACATCACCATGGAGATTCAGAGAAATTAAGAAAAAGAAACAAATCTGTGTAAGGTAACAAACAGAAACATTAATCGATTTGATATTCCTTTGCGGACGTAAACGAAATTGTATCCAGAGAAGCCATCAAAGAATAGAATATCATGCGACAATCGAACCCTGCAAAAATTATGGAGCTTTAACTAACTAACTAACTAACTGCATGATCAATCCTCCAGGTACTAGTTTACTCCTCACCGTAATGATCAACAAAACGTAGTACTTTCTCCCTCCATTTTCAAGGGATTTGCTCGCAATGCTTGCTGCCTTGGTGATTACAGGTCCAAAAAGGGTGGGCCCTGCGAAAGAAACATTGTAGAGAGCACTTGAATATGCCATCAGAATTCCATGGATCCCCTCCACCTAAAAAAGGACGCGCAGCATTCTTAGCACGGACGATGGAACAAAAATACATCCTAAATTAACAAAACAAGAACAGAGAGAAGACTGACTTCATGGTTGTAGTTGCTGCCATTCAAGTTGAAGCAATGAGAGACGGGACCGTCAATTGGCCTTGCTCCAAATCCCCAGGCAGGAAATCGTTTATCTGAATCGTAAAACTGCAGCACATCTCCTACCTCCAAGATCGCCTGAAAAGGTTTCAGAGCTTTGGTGATATAGTTGGCCAGCATAAGAAACCCCATAGGAACAGTTAAATCTACAAGATCATTCTCTTACTCTCTGGTACGCATTTGGTCGACTAGACAAATCCATATTGTGAGAGGGATCGATATAGTGCAAAGAATCAGGGAGCCGGGGATTTCCATTTGAAGCTAACACATGTGAAAAGAAACACGTGGAATCAATCAGAACATTTTGAATCACATAGTCTACTATCATCGTATCTCTTTTTAGATTCAGCATCTACGAATCTCTTATCTCAAGCTTAAAATGGACATGTAATGGCGGAAATTCTACAGTTACGTACATAACAAGGTAATACCGCTGCTACAAACATTCACACTGTCTTAAAAAAGATTGAAAAGGTGACAAGCCCCTTTGTTACACACAGGTCAGCTGAACCTCTTCACAAATAAAGACAAAAAAAGAAAAAAAACAAGTGAACCTAAAGATTTATAACTATTACCTGCCTTATCAAAAACATATATGCATAACAAACACTAAATAACAAGGGAAACAAGCAAGATATGAATTCATGTTCCTTTTTTATGAAGAAAGACCTTGGCATATGCGTCCAAAGTTACCCCGGACCCATGAATTCAAGTTATAATTGTGTTGGCAAAACCAGATCAGGCATAGTGCTATTATCAGCTTTCTAAGTTGAAGGCTTCTTACATTTGGGCCATTTCAGATTGACAGATAATAGAAATCCGTAGTCATGATCGTACATATTTTTTGCACAAGGTTCACATGTTTTATCCTGCACGGACCAACTTGAAAGAATTCTTAAATCCAATTCATATCCAACATGAAAGAATTCTTAAATATATATTTTCCGTTTCAGATTGTAAATATATTTCCCGTGTCTTTCCACATAAGGCTATAGTTGCCCTTCATTCCTCAGATGTTAAATAAAAGAGCAGGTACCTGTGAAGTCTACAGCCACCATGAAATTCAGTTCATATCCCCCTCTCAGATAATCAAGAAAGGTGTGTTGTGTACTCTCTGAAAACTTGTCCACACAAAGCTGGCTCTTAAGCACCTGCTTTCAACGCAAAATTTTCAGAAAAATGTGAACATTGGAGTGAAAGGCAACAACAGCTTCAGCATTCGGATCTAGTTAATCTCAACGAGACCTTAGCACTTTGATTATGCCCAGCTGCTGCCAAAGACAAATGAAGTCCTTCCTGGCTAGAACAAAGCTTTTCCAAACCTGCTAGCGAGATTTGAATCTGTCTGTAACAAACAAATGAATAAGTACTGTCAACATTCATGAAATTAGAACAAATACAGATCCCAAAGGGAAGGGAATGGGAAAGCTCTACTTGCCCAATCAAATCATGTTTGCCACTACTATTGAAGTCAAAGCACTGTATGAGCAATGGACTGTCCTGCAGGTTTCAAGCGATAACAATGTTAGGAATACTGAGGTTAGAGGGACAGATCTCCATCTTCAAAACCAGATGCCAGTCTTTCCTACTTGGAAATGTTGAATAATAAGAATATCCTATGTGAGAAGTGATGGATACACACTTATGCAGCGTTCCATCAAGAAGTATGAGTTTAACAAGAACAAAAGGATGTATCACTGCCCTGAAAACATTGTCATTCATTGGTATCAAGCAACCAAAACTTAGCTCTTGCAAATTGAACCAAGAAATAAATGGCTGGATCCTCCTGAATCAAAGGTTTAATGAAGTGATAGGACAGTTGCAGCATTTTTTTTTTTTTTTGGTAACAAAACTAGGTTTAACAAAGTGATAGGACAGTGGCAGCCTTGTTAGTATACAGAAACAACATAATGTGCTTACCTTGCTTCCAACTTGCTGAATGTTCAAGGAAATTGGTTTCCAGATAGGGTTGTGATCATTCTTTAGCACCTCTGTTTTACACACAGCTATCGGCATCGAACCCTCGGTAACTCTTGATATTAACAGAAAAGGATCCTGCAGATGTATGTTTCACTGTATCATTCACATATCAAAATATCATATAAAAGAAAAGAGAGACAATCTCAATAGTCCATACACTTTTTGAGAACATATCCTTGCTTTCCAAGTCTGAACACCTTAATGTCATCTCAGTAGTAGTTTTTGAGCTAATGCATTCCTCAGCATGCACAATAAGCTGTCCACTGCTTCGAGGATGGCCTGGATCTTCGATTTGTACAAGATTTAAGGTCAAGATCCTGTCCGGCTTGGCCACAATCTGTAGACAGGAAGACAATGACAAAATGTTTTATCCCTCAAGCAACTCCAGACTACCGATGGACAGTTTGGAAGAAGATTCCGAATTCCAACTTTTCGCAAAGCAAGAAACATTTACATTCCCACTTTTTCGGAATCAACACAGATTCCTAAATATTTATATATCCAATCATCAAAAAAGCTGTAGTACAATATAAATTAAACTTGAGCAATTTTTATGTCATACCTGAGACAATATGACGGAAGCTTCACCCAGAAATTGTTGTTCCTCTAGCTTAAGCATCTGTCAAATTCAATCACATTCCATGGTTACTTAAAGGTCAAGCTTCTAACCTTGTCTCTCAAATCTCTCTAATGCCTCATAAAATATTAGGCTGCTATGACTTTCTCTTACATTCACACTTAAATGGTCTTATCATAGGGAACAAGTCAAAAACCAACTGAAAGCACTTTTGTCACTACAGCAGTGGCAATGTGGTTTTATCATAGAAGAGTCAGACCAACTTGAGACACTTCATCTTTGAGTGGTATTTGAATCTAAAAATATGTTCATGTTAACTGACGGCGGGATTATTGAAATTTTCAGCAATCAGGGACAAATTATGCAAATCTTACAACTGTACCTTAACATCCACGTTGTGAAATTGAGAGTCAATGTCATATACACGAAACCTGCAGTGCATTGTACACATTAATTTTACTTAACCAAATAAAAGCAATGTCTTGAAGCTGCACGAGAAGAAAATTTTGAGAGACAGATCAAACTTACACCAGAGTTTGAACAACTTCGAACTGGAACGTGACTGTATATTTTGAGATCCATGATGGATTCAATGAATTGAGGACTACCTCGGAACGAAAAGCTTCAGTAAGGGCCCCATCTCTTCCTTTTGTATAGCCAACCACCATAGGATCACTCTAAAGCAAGTAAACTTCTAAGTAAGAAGCTGAAGGTACAAAATTAGAATGAAAAAAGAGAAAACAAGAACGAATGAAATTGTGGAGTCACTGCCTAGATCAAACTTAACTAGTAGAGTTATTTTATGATGCTCAGAGATGCATTTCTTATCCTCATTCCAGAAACGAAATGCTTAAAGAGTCTTAGCATTCCACTATCATGGTACGCCATTTTGGTCTCGGCTTGATGCAATGAATCGCCAAATAGACATTAATAAACCAAGACATCTAGCCATCTTGAATTAACAAACTTTTACCAAGAATAACTATTAGGCAACATTGTAAAGTTTAGGGCAAACAGTGGTACTGCAGAAATCTTAGCATACATTTCAGCCATTTCGTTAGATCCATGATTCATCGAATTACAACACATTTCATAGCGGGCGTAGAAAAACCAATGCATATAACAGAGCTGAACAATGCTAAAAATACAAGGTAGTTGATATGCATCACGCTAACCTTGGAAATCATATCCCGGTCGCGTAAGTTCGTTGCAGAAAAAGATAACTGCAAAGGCGAAATAGCAAGCGATAGCAGTTAGCGTAGAGAACAGAGTGGTGGTAGCACATTGATGTGAAGAGAAATCTCCTATTTCATCTTCACTTAAATCATTTTCTGTGTTCCGGCAATCGCATCCAGAGAGAGGTTAACAACTCTCTCTACTAATAAGTTCCATCAAAATCATCCACTCTAACTCATGAGCAAGACGGAGCTCAATCGCGTAAACAACGAGCTCATTATCGATTCTAAAACTCAGAAAGCAAAGAGAGCGGGCAGAGAGACGGAGCAAACTTCTCCAACTAGCTACGCATTGACGCTGACTTGACATTCATCTCAGCGAGAAGAAGAGCGGAAAGAAAGAGGTACGGAGTAGAAGAGAGAGGGCAAGGACCTCGATCTGAGAGAATAGTCCCTGGAAGCCGCGGTACCTGAGGAATTCATCAACGGCATCATTAGCACCGCCGCCGGCAGTTGAAGCACCAGTACCGCCGAAGGCCGACCTGCCGCCAGCCTCGTCGGAGCAACAGTTCCCCATTCTTCACGAGTTCCTCGTTCTCACCTAACCACAACTCAGCAGAAGGAGCAGGCCGATTTCTGGAGCGGTAATTCGTCGAGAACTCGAAATTGTTGGTCAGAAGAAAAATGGTGGACTAGAGAGAGAGTATCAATCTCTTGGGATACGGACAAGGGTGATTAGGGTAGGTCCTTTCTTTTGGGGTTGGGGCGGGCAGAGCAGAGCAAGACTAACATAGTGGTCCCTACATGCCTCAGTTATTGAAAGCGCGTTTGGATCTCTCTCCTCCTCATTTTCCCTTTTTCCCCAACCTCATTTCTTTCTTTCTTTCTTTTGTATTTTTACCGTTGCGTTGCCGATGCATGGATGGTGAGCGCCGAGCGGCGGCTGCCGCCGTGAGCGTTTCTCTGCGCTTTTCTCGGATCATGTGCAGGGAAAGTCCCTTTTTTCAAGTGCCAAACCAAATCATTATAGGTACCGGATAAGTTGCTAATACAAAGAGGTGTTATTGCTAAAACTAAGAGAGTGTTACAGCATTTACAATAACCCCCCCGAAGTAGGAGAGGAAAAGGAGAGGAGGGGAGGGAGGGAAAACTTGGATGGGAAGAAAATTGGGGGAACGGAATTGGAGAGAAAATGTTGTTCTATGGGGAAAAGTGAAAAGGATAGTGAGCAATGCAGTCAAAAGGCGATTCTACCTAGAAGCGGAAAAGGGGTAAAATCATAAAGCGTAGAATCAAAGCGTAAAAGCGTAAGTTTTTGAAGCATATTGAAAAATAACTAAAAAGCTAGGACATATACTATATAAAATATGAATACACGAAATTTATATAAGTTAATAAATACATGCAATTCATGCTTCAAGTAGAGCAACTTGTAGTATCTTAATAATAAGTTTTTAAACATAAATTTTAACAATAAGCCACTTCTTCCTCTATGCTAATGCATTCGGGAAGAGCCTAGCTGGAGAATTAGATTACTCTATTAAAGTTGAAAATACATCCAAGTACATTATATGTATAATTTAATCTCAAATGTATCATATTGTTGGTGATTTACTTTTAAAATATACTTTTTATAATTAATTTCATGACAAGAATACTCATTTAGTGAACTAAAAGCGTAAAAACGTAAAGCGTTTTGGTGAACTAGAAGCGTAAAAGCGTGAGCTGTTAAGCTTTAAAGCGCAATTTAGTCCGATTTTATACACTTAAGTTTTTATATGGAAACGGAAGCGTTTTGGTGACCTAAAAGCGTAAAATCGTAAGTATCTAAGTTTTAAAACGCGATTTTGACTGCATTGATAGTGAGAGGGGAAAAATATATAGGGAAGTGTGATAGATATGTTGTTTTATTGATTATGTAATAGTAAGTATATGCAAAAAATGCGAAAATAAATATTATGAATAACCAATTTGTACATAGCCATGATTAATTTTGTTATTTGTTAACGGAACATAAATTGTTCATTTAACTCTCTTTTATTTTTCATACAAATTTGATTACCTTTGTAGTACAAGATGACGTCCATTCTATAAAAAAAATGTAACACTCTGATGTCGTTATACTTGAAACTTAACACACATTTACGTTCCACGTAATTGGATCGGATACATTATTCCGTGTTAATTTTGTTCATTATTTAAAAACAAAAATAAATACTTTGACCATGATCCGGTGAGAAAAACATTTGTCACCATTATATAATAATACACAACGATATCATACAAATAAGAGTAGAGTTGTCTAGCATCATAGTTAGCCATAAATATTGTTCTTTCGTGTATCGCCAGTTGAACCGTAAAAATCATCTACTGTCATCTAAGTCGGTAGTGTACATATATCATGTTAGAAGTTTACGTAGTTAAGTAAGCAATCTAAAATAATACACACAGACTTCACTAATTTAATTATCGTCCTCCAAAATTAGTCGAAGATTATCTCTTCAACCCTAAAAACAATGAATTAGTAATTATCACATCTCCTAATATTTCTCCACGTTAAATGCAATATATGTGCTGATAAAATATAAATTAACAATTTTTGTCATTTATTTCACTACTATCACACATCCCTACACAAATACAACTTAAACGAAAAAGGAAAATAGGCAACGCACGAGTAAAAAGGGTATTAGTTAATAATAATGTTTTATTCGTTAATTAATCATACAATTGATAAAATAATAAATTATATTAGATAATCTTATAATCTGTGACCATAAAATAAAATTCAATAAATCGTTTACCCATCCAAGGTAGTGGAAAGCAAAACAAAAAACAAGAATAAAAAATAGGAAAATGCTTGAGAAGATAGCTTTCCTCCCAAACTGGAGGGTCAAGTAAAACAGTACATTTTCTGCGCAGATTCCTTCCCTCCATTCCTGTAGCAAGTTTGGAGAACGGGGGAAAACTTCTTGGGTTTTGGAATTTCTCTCCCTCTCTTCCCTTCCCTTCCCTTTCTCTTCTTAAAAAACAGAGGGTAAGAGAGCCTAAAAATCCACTTCAACTCCACAATAGGAGGTGAAGAGGACAAAAAAATGGGTTTGGTGAATTTCGTGGGTAGGTATTCCTAGGGGTGTTCAAACGGTTTGGTTACCATGGTAACCGTTTTAACCAGTACTATTTGGATAATTTGGTTTGGTTAATTTGGATAATTGGTTTGGTTTGTTTGGTTTGGTTAAAGTTTTTAGCTTGTTTGGTTTAGGTAGTTTGGTTTGGTTTCAGACACTCCTAACCAGTCAAACCAAATTAACCAGTTAAGTAATTACCAGTTAAGTAATTAGTCATATATCTAACATATATTATATACACATACTTAATACTTTGCATAACCACTCAAGAGTTAACGTTCATCCCTTTTAGACTCATAAAATATAAAGCTCAATATTGTTCATATAGTGTATATTTGTATATGTAAAATGTAGACCACAACATATGGACGCCTAATTTAGATAAGTTTCATATATTATGATGGATGAAAACTTGAAAAGAAGGTCATTTCCAGCCTATGATAATTGCTAAGAGACTAAGTCAATTTACACAAACACAATAATTCATTAACCCATACCAAATTCATAAATTTTTGTTTGGTGAATACTTCTATACTAATCGTAAAATAATTGTCTTAGTTGCATGTATTTTTGTTAAGGGTCAACTATAACTACGTGTTGGTTGTTATGTTTTATTCATTATATAAATTTCGAATTTTGCATTAACCGGAAAATTTTCATCGTCAATGATAATGTGATTTTATATTGGTTTATCTTGTTAACCAATTAACCAAACCGATTAAAATTTAATTTGGTTAATTTGGTTGTTGTATTAGTTTGGACGGTTTGGTTATGATATTGTATTCCATGGTTAATGGAATTTAGCCTTATTTGGTTTGGTTATAACCATGGTAACCATTTGAACACCCCTAGGTATTCCGATCGAAACATAAAAAAAAAGTGAAAACTGAAAAAGGTAGGAAAAAAAAGAATTATCGTCAAGGTCAGGGCCACCCTCCCCGTCCTTTTTTTTTTGTCAAAAGATATCATGTATTGATCGAAAAAATAGACATTTACACTCTGGAGACCAGCCAGGTCTGGAAATCAAAGAAGCGACTCATAGTCGGATACAAAGAGAGGGCTTTCCTAGCTACCAAATGAGCTACCCTATTGTTCTCCCGACCTACAAAACGCACACTAAAACCAGGCTGAGTACGAAAATAATGACCAATCTCTTCTAGAACAGCACCCAACTGGCTATCTCTTGTGTCGGCTTGATTAATTTTGTCAATAATCACATTCGCATCGCCCTCAAAACGGACCTCCGACAAGCCTTGCTCCATACACCAAATAATAGCTTCCCTGAGCACAAGCAATTCCACCACTACAGGATGATCCATTTGAGAAAACTGAACCCCTCTAGCCAGAAGGAGTGTCCACGCTGGGTCAAAAAGAACCATCCCACCAGGCGAATGCGACCCACCCTTAGTAGCCCCGTCCCACATGCAAACCAAATGGGAATCACCCCACTTGTGCTGTAGATTGCATCATCGGGATTTGTACCCTAGGCGTCTGGTCCGCTGGTAGACCCACCCATTCCTCATACTGTTGGTTAAACTGTCGCATGAGCGCCGGGATCCCAAATTGTTTGCCTTCAAAGACTACCCAATTCCGAGATCGCCAGATCCTCCAAAAGATGGCAACAACAACCATAACCACATACGGTTGATGGATCAACGCCAACAAACGTTTGAGAAATAAAGGAAAAGTATGCCGAGGCAAACCCTCCCCCAAGTATTCCAGCCCAGAATAATCCCAGAGAGCTCGCGCAACCGGACAATAAATGAACAGGTGTTCCATTGTCTCCGGGCCATCCCAACAAACTGGACACCGAGGTAGCACCTGGACCTTTTTCTCAATAAGTGATTCCGTAGTCGGCAGAGCCCGATTAAGAATTTGCCAAACAAAAACCTTCAACTTCGGAGGGATCTTCGCCTCCCAAACTCTAATCCAACTCGGCTTATCCATCCAGCTAACCGAGGATCGCCATCCACCCCTCCTCCTGTCCAAGTCGACAGTCAAATGGTAAGCCGACTTAACTAAGAAAACCCCGTCGGGCGTAAAATGCCTGATAAGCTAGGCACATCCCAACGCGGGAGAGGAATAGCTTTAATAGCCTTACAGGTGGGCGGGTCAAACCATTGACTGAGCTCCTCATCAGACCACCTCCCTCCCCCCTCACAAATAACCTGTGCCACCAAGGGATCACCCCCCCCCAGGCAAGATCCGCGGATTATAGCATGGGGGATCTAGTTGGTACCTAGGAATCCAGTTAGAATGAAGGAGGGAGACCGATTGGCCATTACCAACCTGCCATCTCAAACCCATCTCCAATAACTGACGCCCATGAAGGATACTTTGCCACCCCCAAGAGGGACGAGACCTAGCAGTCGCGGTCAGGAAAGGCCCTTGAGGGAAATACTTGCCTTTATAAACCTGGGCAATAAGTGATTGAGGTTCATTGAGAATACGCCAACCTATCTTAGCCAAAAGAGCTTGGTTGAAATGCTCGAACTGGCGAAATCCCATCCCCCCATCATGCTTACTCCTGCACATGTTACGCCAGGACACCCATCTAATCTTGGGATTACCGTCCTCAGCACCCCACCAAAAACGGGCCACATGCCTATCTAAAAGACGACAAAGAGCCAGGGAAAGACGGAAACAGAACATAACATGAAGGGGAAGAGCCAACGCTATGG